AGTATCCACCAACTCGCCGCCTCTTGGCAGATACAGTAATCACAATGAGCGAAGGTAGTGTCCAAGGTAGTGTCCAGGATTTGGGAGCATTAGTTCAATAAAATATGTTATATCATGTGACCTACACAATTTAATAAAACCAGCATCTGTTAATTTGGACACATTCCATGAGCCCACACACATTCCATGAGCATATACTTGTGTTACGTACATTGTATTTTATTTGATTTGCTTAACTTGATATCATCCTGAGGAGAAACTGATACATTGGGGCCACTGCCATCTTGCTAATCCGAGTTAGAGTTAGACGTGCCAACATGAGGTGTAGCGTACCGACATCTGGCAGCTCACCACCAGAGGGTAGATTTCTGTTCGACCAGTGGCGACGTCTGCCAACTTGACGTATGCCCTTAGCCTCCTCTTCAAAGACGAAAACGTCCCCGTCGTTAATTACAAGTTTGTTATAGCTCATGTAGGCGGTCTCATTTTCGTCCCTCGCCTGTTTCGTTAATGGGAACAACTGCTGACGACTCCACCTCACTCTCTCAGTAAAGTCCTCAGATATTCTGTGACAATTGTCAAAGAGGCGTTTAGCCGTGTCGACAAGAAAAGTTTATCCTTATAGAATGAGAAACGCACTATTACTCGCCTACTCCTGTATTTCGATTGCAAAAGATGTGCTCTATCAATGGGAACAGTTTCCATATTTTCAAAATAGTTTCCGAATTAAAAACATTCCTACTTTTTCTTCCGTTTTTGTCCGACGTTTCACCCTTCTCCACACTCAGGCCGTGAATAATGACGTCATCACGTCGAGACTGAATAATGACGTTATTACGTCGAGACTGTGAATAATGACGTTATAACGTCGAGACTGTGAATAATGACGTCATCACGTCGAGACTGTGAATAGTGACGTTATTACGTGGAGACAGTGAATAATGACGTCTTCACGTCGAGACTGTGCCTCTAAGTTTTCAGTCTTAGACTCCAGGAATTGCACTCTTAATACATCGATGTTAGATTGAAGCACTCGTAACTGTTCATTGCAGTCACTCGCAAAACGACCGAACTTGTCATTCAGGCTAGTCAGCGCCTCTCAGGCGGATGTTAGTGTTATGGCGAGGTCTGGCTGGGGAGAGTTTGTAAACCTTGTCCGGTCACGTTAGTTGCAGATCATCGCGTCTGCATTCTATCAATTGAGCTGTGTGGTTGTGTCGGGGTCCTGGGAGCAGGATTTGTTTCAACATCACCGCTTACAACCAACAACGTCAGAAAGTACATGGTTAATCTCAGTGATAGACGTGTTCTCGTAGGTGTCTGTACAACGGGTCGTGTAAGCTCATGGAGGGCGTGTTGTTCATGCCGCAGTCACCAGGGGTACAGCTGCATTACGACGCACTGAATGTTTAGGTAAAAACAAACCAGCCTTTGATGGCATAACTAAGAAATAAACGACTCGTGGTCGTTGTTTATTGTACAATAAAACGCTGCGCCCCTCATGGTATATTCTCCCTGCAGTGTTTCATTGTACGATAAACTATGGCCACGAGTCGTTTATTACTTATGACACATTAACATCATGTACAGCCTCTTTAAGGATGTTTAAAAATATTTACCCAAATTGTAATAATGATGACTCCTCAATAGAATCCGACCTCGGAAATGTCGGACAAGTCCATTATAGGAACAGGTGTGTTAAGTTTGGTATTGCCCGCATAATCTCACAATTTTCACGTCAATCATCTGTACATAATGCTTCATCTTGCATCATACAAAATGGACACCTATCTTCATTCTTCTATAACGAAAGGGTATACGTTGCAGAAAAATTTGGGAATAATGATTCGTGGTAATAATGCAATAAAAGGTATCAAACTGAACATGCATGAAAAGCTCATATCCCCCGCCAAAATGACATGTCCGGTTGTGTGCAATGTATTAGCTCCTGTGAACTATGTTCACTGGACCTTTTTATAAATGGCCTAATTGCAGCACTAAAAAAGTTATTACTGGTGTTGTTTTGACATCTGCAGTTTATGATAGAATACGTAACTGTATTTGTAATGAGTAAGGATGAGACAAATGAACGAACAACTTCTTTATTACAATTAGGAGCGACGTTTCGGTGTGGGTTCTAACACCATTATCAAGCAAGTGAAGTACAGAGTATGGTTGACAAGAATATATACAGGAAAGGAGGCAGTGTTTATACAGTTGAGTAGGTTTAAGATCAGTTACACTGTTGTATTTGTAATGAGTTGTGTTATTACTTAAACAATAATCAGAGAAGTAAGGGAGTTCTTACTTTACTCAGAGATCAATGCGAGCAGGGGTCACCATGAGGTGTACTGAGAAGTACAGCACCAATCATCTGATGATCTGAGTAGTAGACTGGAGTCTGGACTGCTACAGCACAGGCAAGATCAGTAAACATCAGTCCAGTACAGCTCCAAGACAGTGAGTTGGAGAGTGAATGAGTTGAGTCATTTTCCGCACATGAAAGTTTCAGTTTTTTACTCAGATCCCAAACTATCAAACTAACGAAAGGCAACAGTTTACCACTGGAGCTATTTATGTGCCAAGTTTAGTGAAGAAATATTGTACGGTTTTCAATATCTGCTCTGGAAACGAGCACTACCGCCATTTTCATTCTAAGTCAAAGTCGTTTCCATGGAAACTCGAAAAATATTTTGTTTAAAAATCCCAAACTATCAAAAGGCACCAGTTCACCACTAGACCTATCTTTGTGCCAAGTTTAGTTGAGATATCTCTCATGGGGTTTTGTGTTCTGCTCCGGAAACGAAATGTGATGGAGGGACGGACAGATGGAAGGACGGAAGGACGGAAGGGCGGACGGAAGGCACCCATTCCTATATCCCCCTTCCACTTCGTGGCGGGGGATAATAATGTGGAACATAAACTCGAACAATATGCTGATGATACATAAATATTTCTAGATGGGACTTATGAAAGTTTAATTATTTAGTGTGACGTTAATTCCTCGAAAGTCTTTGAAATTTGAATAACGTCATCATAGCTGACCACAGTCGTTCCATAGCAGTTTTGCAAAAATAGTTACAAAGCAAGAAACTTAGATCTACTTCAAATGAAAGTTACAGAGGCAATACCACTCATTCTACTTTTTCCAGTATAACACATCAATCTAATCATAAGTGTTGGTGGCGATATAAGCCTGAAAATATGTCTACACTTGAATTGAACTCGGACATGAAACAAGCCTTTTACCTCAAACTTTTCAGAGAACTTGTTCCATAAAAGGAATAACTCATGACCTAGTTCTGCTGTATTGTCATCGCATTTGTACATTCTAATCTAATTATAAGTCATAATACTTATTTTAAATAGACAAAATAACAGTTATGCAGGTGTGTTTACGTAGTACATATTCTCAACAACAAGTGCGTTTAGTTTCGAATGTGGGCCCACCACGAACTTTCGATTAGGCAAACGGAGTTAGCTCCCTTCTCGAACCACAGATAACGCGGTTTCGCAAACAATTTACATTTACAAAATGCTGTGTTACTTGGGTACAACTCTAATATTCTGTTAAATCACAACATACTGGCATACAATTTTTAATTTATTTTTTTTAAATCTGTACCTTTTCTCCTAACACCGATTGTCATATCTCTCTCACATTTGGATGCTATTGTTCGACCACTGCGTTTATCTGTGTTGCCCAGCTACATCTATGGGGAACAACTTACTCGACAAACTCCCTCTCAAAAATAATGGAGTCCTATATGTATCATGTTATCAAGCTGCGATCATATTCGAATCTCCAGAAATGATGTGATGATAGAACAATGTTTTATCATGAAATAAACCATTCTTCGTTCTTCATTGTTCCCTGCGAATTATCGCGTAGCTATCTTATACAATCTCATTACAATCAGATCTTAGTTTTCACTACCGCTAAACAAAGTTGTTAAGCACAGCGAGAACTAAGATCTGATTTTAATGAGATTGCTATCTTATATCAATAGTATTACACACACACCGACACAAGATTATTACATCACAGAACTTCACCTCTGCGATGTCACAACTGGTTGGTGCATTTGGTTTGCTGAACATTGATGGATTTATATCCGCCTACCATTCACTGTGTTGTGGCAAATGTGACAGAACTGGGAATAAATGCTATATTCCTATCCTGGGTGGATTTGTTTGTAACAAAGGTTCAGAAAAAATATACACATCACGGTATGATGACGCCACGTGAGCCAAGTCACACATTGTCCGTCACTCAGCCCTTACATACACAGGGTAATGGCGACTCCGTCGTTGAAGCTGGATGCTGTGATAATCAAGGGAACCTTCTAGCGTGGATGTTTATGGGTTCGTCTCTTACGACAAGCATAGACACCTCTTATCGCAAGCATAGGTTGCTGAAGACCTTTTCTAAACCCGATGTTCCAAGGTCTGTCTCTTACGACAAGCATAGACACCACTTATTGCAAGCATAGGTTGCTGAAGACCTTTTCTAACCCGGATGTTCACAGGTCCGTCTCTTACGACAAGCATAGACACCTCTTATTGCAAGCATAGGTTTCTGAAGACCTTTTCTAACCCGGATGTTCACAGATCCGTCTCTTAGGACAAGCACAGACACCTCTTATTGCAAGCATAGGTTTCTGAAGACCTTTTCTAACCCGGATGTTCACAGGTCCGTCTCTTAGGACAATCACAGACACCTCTTATTGCAAGCATAGGTTGCTGAAGACCTTTTCTAACCCGGATGTTCACAGGTCCATCTCTTACGACAATCACAGACACCTCTTATTGCAAGCATAGGTTTCTGAAGACCTTTTCTAACCCGGATGTGCACAGGTCCGTCTCTTAGGACAAGCACAGACACCTCTTATTGCAAGCATAGGTTGCTGAAGACCTTTTCACAGGGCAGATGCCAAATGTATTTGCTGGATACTCAAGTGAACATTCTGCAGGAAGTTGCCAACGACAGACAAACGATGTATACACAGGACATTTTATTGTGATGTTTCATGAAGTATTTACAAATGACAGGACAAACACAGTACACAGTGTACAGGACAGAAAACCAGGGACAAGTGAAGCTGGGGACCTGTGACACACACGGAGGTCCCTGAAGTCCTGATGTTAGACACAGCGCAGGCAAGGCTGCTGTCTGCCATTCAAGTCAAACGTGGAGTCATATCTTTTATCTAATGATGTTTCACTGTATCAATACATTACATAGACATTAGAATAATATCAAACAAAAAGTACCTCTTCTTAAAAGTAAATACGATAATTCAAAGTGTGACATTGTAAAGTAGATTGATATTTCTCAGAACATAGGTCGCATGAAATGTGTGCCCACAGAGCACCTTCAGACTGTGGACAGTATGAACACCGTGATGCAGTCTTCCTCGTCAGTGTCAATCACTCTTTGGGGTAAAACGATACATCGGTGAACCGCAAGTTTTCATACAACGATACGACACACGATATGTTTTCTTCTATATCGATACACTTGCTAAACTATGTAACTTACTACTTGTTTAATGGCCCCAGGATTCTTGTGAGATGACCATAGCAAAATGTGTTGTACTTAGCCTTCCAAGTACTAAGAATAGCAGCTATGAACATGTGTCTTCAGCTAGCTTTACCTTTAGAACAAGCTCCAAAATATTTATATTCAAGAAGTTTCCATGCAATATGAAGTAAACATGTGTATCGAGATATGTGTCGTATCGTTACCTATGTATCGTGACCTCGCTGTATCGCTTCCCCCCGAATCACTCCTTGACATAAAGTCAGCATGTTACAGATACTATGAGACTGACAACTGCTCTGAAGTGTGTCCAAACTGTTCATGTGTCAGCTACCTAGGTCATCTCCGGTCCCTCACCTCCAGGCACAAGCTGAAAACACAAACAAACTTCAAGAAGATGTGGCTAAAGCTTGTGTGTTTTGAAATGATTTCATTACAAATCAGTCAATCTGGAAATGACTGCTACACCATTTGGCAATTATCCACATCTTGTCGTAGTCCGAGACACTGGTCCTGACTACTTGGCCCACTCAGTTTACTTTTACTTGAATGGATTTACTTCCTTGAATCTGTAAGCTCATACAATTTTACATTCTGCTCTCCGCAATCATCACTTTTGTACCCATTCCTCTGCCCCAAAGCCAGTCGGCAGGACGGGATACATGCATTACATAATCCAGCTACTGAAGAGTCAGAAGACTTGGTCTACATCAGTAAAACATAGCTTTCACCGGGCAGCGCCAGATTGTCATGTCTGTGTATAAAACTGATCACAGTGACTGTCCACAACTAGTGAATGAACATCTAGATGACCTCCTCCTGCCTGTCGTGTGGAGGGAGTAGGGGGCAGGTTTTACATAATACTTATCAATCTGATGATACCAGAGGAAACATGGACATCAAGTATGTTCAACATTAGGCTCTAGTGTTATTCTCAACTTACCATGGTGATGTTGTTCCCATTCAGGAGCAGCTTGTCAAGCCGCGTGACCCGACGTCCCTCAGGAGTACTCTCACTGCAACACACCACCATCATGACATGGAGTGAGTGAGTGAGTTGTGTTTAACGCCGCTTTTAACAGTATTCAAGTTATATCACGGCGTGTCAGCTTAATGTGGGAGGAAAGCCCGAAGTGATGCAGGTCTCTGACGTTTACCACTTCGGTAAAACCAACGAGCACGGGTATGGTGCTGACAAACCTAGAAACATAACTGGGGCGAACCAGGATTCGAACCCACAATCCTAGGTTTCTGGCGTGCCCAAGGGACGCAACTCTGCACAGCGAATCGCGGCGCCTTAGACGACTGGGCCACCCGTGCCCCCATCATGACATGGAAAACATCCACATTGCAACAGAATCAGGTTAAACAATCAAGTTAAAGGACACCAGAGTTTTTCCCGTGACTATAGTCAATGTGTCACGGCTGGTGGGTATTGCAACACACAGCCTTCCAATTGTGGGTGTTCTTTATCTTGTTTTGAGTAGTATACATTAGAAATAAATACTAGATGCCCTAAAGCCTTACATATAAAATACATGAAAAAACTTAAATATTCTCACTGGAAAAGCAACATTTTGTCCTCCAAAGAATGAATAACAAGAAAACAGCATTATCACTATCCCCGTCATGGGGCACTTACAAGTTTTGTTTGTTCATATTGTAGTGAATATAAACTATATAAAATAGTCCTATAAAGCTGCACAACAGACAGGCACTTGGGCTGCTTGATGACATCAGAAAAAATTGATTAAATGTTACAAATAATACGTTCAAAAGGCCCCTTCTCTGGGACAAAAACTCACTCTTGCTTAGTATCTCTTAGATAAGCTAACTTCAGTAGTTTCTGAGAAAATGTGTCCCCATTACAGACACTATGCACCAAGTAGAATAACATGGATCAAGGCCCGCAACTCGGTAAAAAAATAATTGAATGGACCAATTTTCCAACTCAGTCTTGAGAAGTATGTCTTAGACAAGCATGCAATCTTTCATTCATGTAACTGGGAAACCTTGTCCCCATTTCACGAAGTATGCATTGAGTTGAAAAGCATGGAGCAAGGGCCATAATTCTGTATAAAAATGAATTTACGACACCAATTTTCAAACTCATGACCAGTAACCTAAGTGTGTAAAATTTCATTTCTCTGACTTAAATATTTTTTTTAGAAAATGTGTCCACATTGAGAAGCGGACGGTCTGACGGAAGGACGGGGAGAATAATAGTTATCCATGTTGATGACCATAACACGGCTGGGGAAATATTGTTAACAAGCATGAGAGGATTATGTAGATTGGAAATCTTGATAAAACTTTGACAACTATTTCATAGCATAGAAAGATTATTTAGCAAACGACAAGATGAATAATTATTTGGGGAAACCCTATTATAAAAACGTGCATGGTTGTGTCAACTGGCTACAGTACTACCCCATTATAACAACAAGCATGGTTATCCTTACAGGCTACCCCACTATAACAACCAGCATCATTGTCTCTACAGGCTATAGTTAAGAAACATACTCACAATTCTGTCACATCCTCAAGAACCATGTCTGTTGAAAACTAAGGAAAGCTGACACCAATACAAGTATGTAACATTACACTATATGAATTAGAGGTGAGGTTAAATGGGGTTTAACATCGCGTCCAAGATTATTGCACTTATATAGCAGCACAAGTGTGTCTGCGTGCATGCTTGTACTAGCCCGGACTGATGTTGAATTATAGTGCTAACCCACTGAGATACCATGCCGCAGTTTAACATGATTACCCCACTCAGACACAGCATACTGACTCCGAGCCGACCAGTCCTTGTTTTAACCCCTAAATGGCGAGCGCCAGATAGGGTAACAACAAGTACCATCTTTTAACGTCTTTTGCTGTATACTAACGACCTTTCACTCTCCGGGCAGACTATATGAATTAGAGGTGAAAACACTGAGAATGAAATGGTTTCTAATAAATTCTAAATAGAATACAGATTCTATTCCATCAAGGCATAGGTATGGTGCTGGCAAACCTATTGGGTCAAACCAAACTCTGGCATGAGTAATGAGTTCCCTTGCTACTGGTGACAGAAAGAGTGAGATCATGTCACTCTGGTATCTGCAATTTCTCTGTAGAATTAGTGCAAAAACAGTGGACACAATATCATGACTATGACTTAAGAGTCCACAGCACTACTGGTTTTGTCTTAGACCTCATGCAGACCAATAGCCTACTTAGCAACATGAGTGATAGCTTTGCTCATTGTTTATTATCAACTAGAAGGGACATTGAACACATGATCAAGCACTACAGTGAGGTCAATGAGAACACATGATCAAGCACTAGTGAGGTCAACGAGAACACATGATCAAGCACTACAGTGAGGTCAACGAGAACACATGATCAAGCACTACAGTGAGGTCAATGAGAACACATGATCAAGCACTACAGTGAGGTCAATGAGTGAGTGAGTGAGTATGGTTTTACGCCGCTTTTAGCAATATTCCAGCAATATCACGGCGGGGGACACCAGAAATGGGCTTCACACATTGTACCCATGTCGGGAATCAAACCCGGGTCTTCGGCGTGACGAGCTAACGCTTTAACCACTAGGCTACCCGACAGCCCCGTGAGGTCAATGAGAACACATGATCAAGCACTTCAGTGAGTTCAACGAGAACACATGATCAAGCACTACAGTGAGGTCAACGAGAACACATGATCAAGCAGCCTCTGGGAGACAGGTGTAACTGAGTACAAATCTACCCAACTCTGCTGCCTGCTGCTGTTTTCATCCTGAGTTGGCTGGTGTGAAAGGATACTGACATAGTCATCAAAGCCCAGCAACACTCCGACTATCTCCTTGTCATTCTTCATGATGATGTGAATCCTGGACCCAATACATTTGTCAACCAACTCTGTGGAACAGATAAACACGATCACAATGACAGGAGAACAACAAACATCAACGGACTGGAACTGCAGGACCCAGAGCTCCAGATAAGCTTTTGGTGTTACCCACTAGTTTTTACACATGTGGGTATTTAAGTTAAATATTTAAAAACACTTTTCATCAAATCCCTGCAAACTAGTGTTGTGTGGGTTCAAGAGCTTTATAGGACTCAAAAATACCACGATACTTCCACAAGAAAGTTTGATGGCAAATGATGGTGATGTAACTGTCATCGTGGAGTTTGGCAAGGTTGACGGAGAGCCTGATAATAATTTCAAAATAAGTTGCTGATTTGCTAATCGAATACGCAGGGTTACTTCACAATATTTTGATGATACGCACATGTTATATTTTTGTAGCTTATCTGTAATGTTCATTGCGTATTTGATACGCTTGGATTTTATTTTACTGCATATTTCTGCATTTCTGATGCGTATTTTACGCAGATACGCAGCTTATCTGGAACTCTGAGGACCTGACAGACTTTTCTGCCGAGCATATCATCTATTTCTCTGTCCAACCGTAAGTTAAGGAATATTGTGGTAATATTAATACATCTTGCGTGACCAGTAGAAGAATTGAAATTTACCATCACATTTGTAATTCGCTTGATGATCATAAATATTTTTGTATGATATTCTGTGATATTTCTAAGGCATTCAACAGGGTATGGCCCAAAGGTACATTGCAAAAACTTCCAACAATATGGTATAACTGGTAAATTATTAGCTTGGTGTCGCAGTTTTCTGTCAGCCCGTTGCCAAAGAGTATTTTTTAATGGTAGTTAATCAAGTAAAACATTCACTAAAGCAGGGATCCCACAGGGCTCTGTACTTGGGCCGTTCCTATTTTATAGTTTACATAAATGATATTACTGATCAGCTTCAAAATATTACTAGGTTATTTGCCGACGATACATTTATAGGAACTTCATCTACTGATATGGTCGTAATTGAAGACAGACTAAATCAAGACCTTCTCTCTCTCTTGCTATGCTAACAGTGCCATTGAACATGTAGAAACCCACAAACATTTTGGGGTCACGTTATCTCAAGATACGAAATGGACTGCACATTTTAATTATTGCTAGGTCAACAGCGAAAATGGTTTCAGCTATGCGTAAACTTAAATATAAATTAAATAGATATAATCTTTCAAAAATCTATCTGACATTTATAAGACCTATTCTGGAATACTCATCGGAGGTATGGGACAACTGTTCTGCTTATAACGAAAATAAACTTGAATTAACACAACTTGACGCTGCCAGAATTGTGACAGGCTTGACCAAATTTGCCTCGAGAGAAAGTTTATATTTCGAAAACGGCTGGCTCCCAGTAAAAGAGAGACGAAAAATTAAAAATCTTACAACAGTGCACAAAATAATAATAAAGAATGTCCCTCATATCTAAATGATTTGTTACCCCACAACAGATCAGCTGCTTCAAATTATAACCTAGGTACAAAACAGAACATGACCTTTTGCCAGAACAAGTACATTTCAGAAATCATTTATAACAGACTCTTTAAAACAGTGGAATTCACAAAATGAAAATATTAAAATAGTATCTCTGCAGCTGAATTATAAACAAAAATGTATCCAAATGTTATTAAATCTCCATATTATTTCAGTTATGGAAAGCGTCAAATTAATATTATCCACACAAGACTTAGACATAGATGTAGCAATCTAAATGATGATGTATTTAGGGTTAATTTGTCAGACACTATTTCTTGCCCTTGCGGTTCCCCATGCCAAAATGCTTTTCACTATTTTCTTGAATGTAAAAAATATTCTTTAATAAGACAATCTTTGTTCATCAACATTAGGAATATAGGGACTCAGCCAAATTTAGAAACAATTCTTAGTGGTAACAAAAATCTATCCGAAGAACAAAATAACTTAATTTTTAAATATGTCTATCAATTTATTGCAGAAACAAATAGATTTTAAAACAGATTTTCAATTGTATCTTAATATAACAAGAATTATATTTCATGAGCTACTTTCAAATTATCTTGATTTTACATGTGACTTGCACATATAATCCACAGTTATTTCAACACAAAAAGTCTTAGTTATATTATTTTTTTTCTATTAGTTTGGGTATTCGTTATAACTTTGATTTTGATGTAAAACAATAGTATTCCATGTTATTATCACAGCTTAGTTACATTCTATATTTCCCGCCCTTACCATAAATTTAAAATGTCTATTAGTTTATTAACTACTGTGTTATTTTATAAATATATCAAGTACCATTGTATACAAAAAAGGTAAATTCATCATATATGTATATGTATGTGTGAGTGTATGTAGGTATATGTGTTTGTGTGTAATACTGTATATATATGAATATATGTGTGTTATTATATTTTTTCATTACTTGTAATTCCTATGCACTGTAAATTTATTCTGCACTATCATTATTCATATACCACAATGTAATGAAATGTATACAGGAGAAGGCCTCGTAAGTGTGTCACTTGTGCCTAATCCATTTGATTTTCCGCAATAAAATATGTTTAAATCAAATCCCTTGAGACCAACAGCAGGTACCCAGGTAATAGTGGGTTGGGTACCCAGGTAGTAAATTTGGACTCATCCCAGCCCTACAAGAAACATGTCAGACACATTTGCTTTGCTTTTTTTTCACTGTAAGCCATAGCCTAATTGTTTTTACATTCCCTTTCATAGTTTTTGATAAAAAAAATAATTTTAATTCATATCGAAAAATTACAATGGAGCTCTTACTTACAGCAGTAATCTAAACATTTTGTGATATTCAAAATAATACTTGAAACTAATTAGACAGTAAATAGGACGCAACGTTTACTGGTATATGAGGAACGTTCACAATGTTTTACAAGTGTTGCCTGTTGAGTTTTTCCATGGACACCTCAATCTTCAATACAGCACTTAATTTGTGAGAATGAATGTTTAATCACAAGTCTAGAAGTACAAGCGCGAATTTAGAGCACCATGTGGTGATAGTCGTGGATAGTGTTGGGCCTGGTGGCCATTTGTAATACCACAGAGGTTGTCATAAAATATGACATCATAAGAGTGCATACACTATTAATAAGTGCAATGGACCTGTCGTCAGGAAACGACACAAAGTGAAGTGCTCTTAATGTTTTTACCTAATGGCAACAACTGAGACGGGTTCGAAAAAGGCGCAGCCATGTTGAAATAGAACGCCACCTGGCGGAATTAGTCATACTTTGGTCGATATTACATTTTCTGTACAACTTTCAGCAACATTTATGAAAACCTCTACCGGACAAATAGATCTTCGTTACGTCTTGAAACTCGACTTCCACTAATCAGAGACAATTCAATTGATTCATTGTTAGGTCATTCATGTAACTGACGCTGTAAGGATATAATTATATTATATCAACTCTTTCTTGTCGTCCATTTTTATAGAAAGTGGTCAAATGTAACAAATATTATACTTGGGATAACTGAGGCTTTGGTACGCGGGATTCGGGGTACTATTTAAAGTGTATTCGGGACTCGACAGAGTGGTACCCGGGACGCAAAAAAATCGTATTTGGCACGCAGATTCAACATTTAAAAAAAATAATGGTTTACGTAAAAAAATATTTACATATTTTATGTCTTTGATCGATTCTTCATTAATTTAACTTCAAATTGCACCCTTTTATGACCGTGGATCGTGTTCTATAGGGTTTCGTCTGTTTCCGACACACACCACAGCTCTCTTTACTCACTCGTGACCAATTCGTGTTATTCCGAGGCAAGACGTGCCGCTTTTGAAGTTTCCATGTTGGCATATAGATACCACGAAGTCATATAGAACCCAACCACAACAACATCATTTTGAGATATCGGCCTCGTAATTAGTTAAACTTTGATGTCCGGATGAAGTTACTTTCAAACGTATCTGGGCACATTCCTGGCAACAAACTGATTACATATTCTGTATTGCAAGAAAGAGGATTTTTTTAACACCTGTTTTCTATATTATAAAAGTTTAGTTTAGTATGGCTCCTGTTATGTAAATTTAATAATGATTTCAACTAAAATGCCAAAGAGATCTATCCCCAAAAGAACTATACCACACGACCCGCGAAGATGCGGGTTAGAGTAGATTTTCAGCAAACCAATCTCGCTGACTTGGTTGATGCATGTCATCGTATCCCATGCAATTGCGTGGATCGATGCTCATGATATCAGTCCCTGGATTGTCTGGTCCAGACTCGATTATTTACAAACCGCCGTCATATAGTTGGAATATTGCTGAGAGTGGCGTTAAACAACACAACAAAACGCACGCACCACACGCACGGGTACGCACGGGTACGCACGCACGCACGCACGCACGCACGCACGCACGCGCACACACACATTAAAGCAACAATCACTACAATAAACCACAACAGCAGAGTAAACGTATCCACATGACTAGTCTGTCTTACAGACCCTGATACAAATATATCAACTACAGCCCATGCAAGTCTATAATGTTTGGCAAGTCTAGATTACTGCAGTATCTGAAAATGAAGAGAATCACTGGGCTCCCTTTTTATTATATTTTTATTAAGATAACTGAGCAACTGTTTTTTCTGTACGATATGTTCATTTCAGAGACTATATGTTAGTCTACCACATGACCAGATTTGTTATTAATCACATTTTTGTTTTGGATGCCATAACGAACCATACCTAGAAATATGAGGTTCTTTCACGCTGGCATATGTACTGTTTGATACCCGTGGATGGTTCTCTTTGACTTTACTAATTTGACACTTTAGGGCTTTGTTGGTTGGAGTGAGTTGTTTCCTAGTTATATCGGTTCAGTGCTGGTTCACTGTATCCGTATGAACACGAGGATGATAACGCTACCTGATTGTTATAGTAAAATGTAGGCGTTATACGACAAAAGTCAAAGTATTGAACCTCTCTGATATAAAATTAATATATATTCTATTATTTTGAAAACAAAATATATTTGGTAAGCAATTCCACTCATTCATTCTCACTCGTTCAACCTTTATTAGCAATTTAATATTTTATCAATAAGATTTTAAAATTAGATGAAGATAATTGACACTACTAAGATCGTTTTTAGTTTTTAATAATTTCAACAATGAATTTCTCAGACACATTCAGTTAAGCGCGGTTATTTTGAATTTTGCCTTTTCTTTACGTGAAACGGCACGCTACAGCTCATGTGTTTCCTGACTGAATGTGTCCTTTCATGGTCAACGTTAATAAACAGTATACAGTAAACTACGGTTATAACGAACACGCTTATAACGAACTGACGGATATAACGAACTTACTTTTTGGTCCCGACTACTTGCTGTAGTCATGCTGTATATGTACTTATAACGAACTACGGTTATAACGAACTAAAAGTAGTAGTCCCTTTGAGTTCGTTATAACCGTAGTTTACTGTATACACTGTATATGTGTTCATGACAATAACTGTATGGAGGAATGTGCTATCCACCATGTCTAGAGACGTACAAACAACATATATACAGTATAGTATGGACATGTTAAATTTAAAAACCTCAGGGGATTCCCCAGTAGCCCTTGCTTGTAACGTATGAGGTGGCCGGGCTCGGCGAGCTGGCTGATAGCGTGCATTCGTACCCCGACAGCGTGGAGCGTGGCTCACAGTATCAATTACTCGTCGGCCTGGTCAGGTTGATTATGTACTCAAGTAAAGACATGGAGCAGAATACAAATATATGTTGGATATAGAACACAACATTCTTTATTAGTATTTGACTGAATACATTGAGGGAATAGCATAGCCCCTTACAGGTTTAATAGGTCAGAAGATATGTGCGTGACCTATGTAGGATGTTTAAATCCCCTAATGTGTATAACCTTCATTTTCCATTTACAAAACTTAAAGTATTTCATAGCTTCCATTCATTGTACCGAATGTCAGAGCGAGAAAGTTCTTTTACAAATTTCGAAATAATTCATTTGAATCTCCTATATTTTTGCATGTATGATTTGTGGTATACCAACAGATAGTTGTGATTGTTTATTGAGGGTTTTTTTGTCAAAACAACTTGTATTTCTTTGTTCAGTCATCTCTTACTTGTATTTCTTTGTTCAGTCATCTCTTATTGATGTAATATAAAATATATTTTACTTATCACTGTCTGAATTTTTATACTTAGAATCCACCCACACAGATCCAAACATTAATATGCTAATACAGCAACATCATTGTTAAATTACTATTTGTTTAAAAGTGGATCGTAGCAAGGTACGAGGATTGATTGATTGATACGTTCCTGAAGCGACCTCACAACTGACTTTATGTGCTGGCGATCAGGTGTGGGTGTGCCTTCGTTTCCCAGATGGGACTCAATCCCCAAAGTGCTAGACTTTGTACTTTACTAAGAAAGTGTTATTCCAAATATAACATGTGTGACGTCCATTTTATACTTCGTAAGCTATCCTTCCATTACAGTGTACCCGGGAAGACTGTGAACCGTATTTAAAAAACATCTTTCCCTTCTGTGGTGCATATATAGAACGTCCTTAATTATGTATAACTCCATTCGTGGATTATGTATATATAGGTTTGGGATAACGGTGTTGGTTTTAGACAAGACACTTAATTACAAGCAGAGGTCGAACTGTATCCAAGCTAACCATAACTAGTCGTTGAGGAAAGGTTTTAACAGACTCGGAGTGAGAAAACACCCGCACTGTCGTTTCATGCCCATGTTAACTGGTAGTAAGTCTCTCCACGCCTTGTCACCTGTGTGTTTTCACAGCCATGTATATATGTGTTGTTCACACTTCGCATGTATGATAAAGGTACTAGCACCTACACGTGGCAACAACGTAAATATATACATGTATGTAGTATTCCGTTAACACAGAACATTGTTATCAGTTTCCGAGACGCAGAAAGTGTAAGAAGCGCCCTACAAATACCGTCAACTAGTCCGACTGTGTCCTTTGTTAATGGCACATTCTAAGTGAGCTGGTCAAAAACATCTAAGCTTAACAAACAAAACTAACAACTGCAGTGAAAGTGATTTTATTTTTCAAAATAATCTCCCTGCTTTTCAATACACTTCTCATATCGATAGCCAAGTTTTTCAATTCCGGCCAGGAAGAGGTTTTCCGAAGCCACACTGAAAAACCCATTTACGTCAGCTTTGAGGTCGTCGTTGTCGTTATTGCGCTTTCCACGCAGGTGTTCTATCAGTTTGGGAAACAGGTGGGAATCACTTGGTGCCAGGTCTGGCGAGTATGGAGGGTGAGGAAGTTCTTCGAACCCACATTGTCGCACAGCAGTCTTTGCAAGTCAAGAGATGTGAGAAGAGGCATTGTCATGAAGGAGAAGAACTCCAGCAGTCAGCATTCCTCGCCGCCTTTCTTTGATAGAATCTCTCAGCAAATCGGCACAGTAGGCACCGGTAATGGGTTTTTTACACCCTTTGCATCCCAGAATACAGAGGCCATAACGTTCTTCACTGATCTTGAAGACTTGAATTTCTTTGTTGCCGGAGAAGTGGAATGGTGGCATTCCATGGATTGACGTTTTGACTCGGGATCATAGTGGTAGACCCATGTTTCATCACCCGTTACTAATCTCTTTTTGAATTTGACGAAATCCTCCTCAATTAGCTCTAAATGTTTTCTGGCAATATCAGTTCTTTTTTCCTTCAGATAAAAATTAAGAAACTTTGGCAGCCAACGTGCAGATATCTTACTCATCTGTAAATGTTAATAGTTTCAATGGATCCGTGGCTAAGACCCGGCTTGTCTTCCTCAAGATTTAGCAATGGTAATACGTCTATCTGACAGTATACATTTTTCTATCTCCTCAATTGAATCTTCGTTGATGGAAGTTGAGGGAGGTCCAGACCTAGGGTCATCATCAAGGCTTGTTTTCCCAACCTTCCACATAGCTGCCCAACGTTTAACAGTGGAATATCTAGGGCGCTTATTCCCATACAAACGTGATGACTGCTCGGTAATCGTTCTTTTCCCTTCTGTGTCCATTTGGACCCCTGTCACGTTCAGTTGGCTGTCACTAATATACAAACGGCTTCAACAGCCCAAATACACTTGCAATGAAGTACTCAAACAATGTGCTATATTGACTAGTTCACTTTGTTATGGCCAATAGTTAAAAGACTGTCAGGCTGAGAACTCTTTGACTAGCCCTCGTAAATGAATGGAATGAATGTTATATCTTGTACAGGCATAGTAAATTAACAAATAGTCGAAGAAGGTAAATAATGAACAATAGAGTGAGTGAGTGAGTTTATGCTTTCTAATAGAAGGTAAATATCACATACTAGGTGACGTGAGGTGAAATGGGGTTTAACGTCGCGTCAAAGATTATTGTTCTTATAGAGCGACGTGCATGCACGTGTGTGTGTGGCTGCTTGTACTAGTCCGGACTGATGCTGATTTATAGTGCTAGCCCACTGAGAAACCATGCCGCAGTTTAACATGATTACCCCACCCAGCCACAGCATACTGACTCCGAGCCGACCAGTCCTTGTTTTAACCCCTAAATGGCGACTGCCAGACAGGATAACAACAAGTACCATCTTTTAACGTCTTTTGGTATGACGCGGCCGGTGATCGACCCCGGACCTTCCGCTCTCCGGGCAGACTATATGAATTAGAGGTGAACACTGAGAATGAAATGGTTTCTAATAAATTCTAAATAGAATACAGATTCTATTCCAGCAAGGCATAGGTATGGTGCTGACAAACCTATTGGGTCAAACCAGGATTCAAACCCACAATCATAGGTTTCTGGCGTGCCAAAAGGGCCTGAGTAATGAGTTCCCTTGCTACTGGTGACAGAAAGAGTGTGGTATCTGCAATTTCTCTGTAGAATAACTGACTCCGAGTCGACCAGTCCTTGTGTTAGCCCTTTAATGCCGAGCGTTAGACAGGGTAACAACAAGTACCATCTTTTGACGTCTTTTTGTATGACGCGGCCGGGTATCGACGCTCCACCACTAGACCACAGACACACTTAAACGCTTTCCTCCTGGCTTCAGACACCCATCCGAGTACACGCGCTCGAACACTTGTAATACGACTTCCTCCGTGCATCATCACTCGCTGATGTCGTCTTGTTTGTGACATGTCATGTGACAGCTATAAGATAGCACTTGACACGTAACATGTAAACATGGCGATATCAGTAGTAGTAGTAGTAGTGGTAGTCATAGTTAGTGAGTCTTGAGTGAGAGAATGAGTATAGTTTTACACCGCTTACACATTTAGCAATATTCCAGCAACATCACGGCGGAGGACACCAGAAATGAGCTTCACACATTGTAACCATGCAGGTGAGGATTCAACTCAACTGAGACGTTACTTGTTGTTACCCTGCCTGGCGCTCGGCATTAAGGGGCTAAAACAAGGACTGGTCGGCTCGGAGTCAGTATACTGTGTCTGAGTGCGGTGTTCATGTCAAACTGCACACACACACACACACACACACACACACACACACACACACACACACACACACACACACACACACACACACACACACACACACACACACACACACACACACACACACGTGCGTTAACGCTGTGTTAAACCCCTTTTCGTCTCGCCTCACTCACAACCGGGATCTTCGCGACGTGACGAGACAACGCTTTAACCACTAGGCTATTCCACCGCCCCAGTAGTAGTAGTAGTAGTAGTAGTAGTAGTAGTAGTAGTAGTAGTAGTAGTTATGATTTGTCCTTGCCGTTCGACATGTGGGTGTCCGTGTGACACACTAATCTGGTGGGGGTCCGTGTGACACACTCATCTGGTGGGGGTCCGTGTGACACACTCATCTGGTGGGGGTCTGTGTGACACACTAATCTGGTGGGGGTCTGTGTGACACACTAATCTGGTGGGGGTCCGTGTGACACACTAATCTGGTGGGGGTCTGTGTGACACACTCATCTGGTGGGGGGTCCCTGTGACACACTCATCTGGTGGGGGTCCGTGTGACACACTCATCTGGTGGGGGGTCCCTGTGACACACTCATCTGGTGGGGGTCCGTGTGACACACTCATCTGGTGGGGGGTCCGTGTGACACACTCATCTGGTGGGGTCCGAGTGACACACTAATCTGGTGGGGGTCCGTGTGACACGCTCATCTGCTGGGTGTCCGTGTGACACACTAATCTGGTGGGGGCCCGTGTGACACACTCATCTGGTGGGGGTCCGTGTGACACACTCATCTGGTGGGGGTCTGTGTGACACACTAATCTGGTGGGGGTCCGTGTGACACACTCATCTGGTGGCTGTCTGTGTGACACACTCATCTGGTGGGTGTCTGTGTGACACACTAATCTGGTGGGGGTCCGTGTGACACACTCATCTGGTGGGTGTCTGTGTGACACACTCATCTGGTGGGTGTCTGTGTGACACACTAATCTGGTGGGGGTCTGTGTGACACACTAATCTGCTGGGTGTCCGTGTGACACACTCATCTGGTGGGTGTCTGTGTGACACACTCATCTGGTGGGGGTCCGTGTGACACACTCATCTGGTGGGGGTCCGTGTGATCCACTCATCTGGTGGGGGTCCGTGTGATCCACTCATCTGGTGGGGGTCCGTGTGACACACTCATCTGGTGGGGGTCCGTGTGACACACTTATCTGGTGGGGGTCCGTGTGACACACTCATCTGGTGGGGGTCCGTGTGACACACTCATCTGGTGGGGGTCCCTGTGACACACTCATCTGGTGGGGGTCCGTGTGACACACTCATCTAGTAGGGTCCGTGTGACACACTCATCTGGTGGGGGTCCGTGTGACACACTCATCTGGTCAGGACGACTGCGTACGTGATACATGCACAGGACATCTCCAGTTACTAAAGAATAAACTATCGGGTATCTGATGGTGTCCCAGCACCCCATTGTCAGGTTTAACCCCCACAACGCACAATAAACGCCATTTCTGCAAAATAATTCTGGTAAAATCGTGTACGATATAAATACCACCGTCAGACCTCAAGCAGGCTAGTGCTTGGCGTGTTGCTGGAATAGGAGCTTTGCATCAGCTGCATGCTGTCAACTCATCTGATGGTAAGTTTATAAACGGTACATTGACATTCTAAAGAGCAACGATATGGATTCAACACTTGTTACGTCTGACATCGATTTCTCAAATTAAACATGTATATAGTTGTTGGGAAAATGTTATATAGCATATGTTGAGTTAATCGATATTAATCATTTTGTGATAAATGTGGAAATTATGTCTATGTGATTCGGTTATTTATTTTAAACCTTTGTTGGATGAGCAGTGCAGTGCCTAGACACGTTATATGTATCAAACGTAGCACGCCATCACTATCAAAAGACAAAAATACTGATAGCAGACGACGGGCACCTGTCAGGCGTCTGAACGAAGGCTACCGTAGACTACCGATGTTGACCGGTCGGAAAAGACCGAATCGCGCCGAAGTTCTGTTATTACAATGGCCGACAGAATAGGCTAGATGAAGATGTTTTTGCAAAATTCAATGGATTTATTGTGTAAAATCATGGATATATGAAGCATGAGTGCAGGAGAAATTGCAGCAGAAGCCGGCAATGACAAAGAAGTGGAATATTACTATCGGCCAGGTATAATGATAATAATGTGTGGTATAAAATTAGGCATGGAATGGTTTTGGTACGGAGGCTGCTGGGCGAGCCGCCGAAATGATAAGGGAATGGAAGCAGCGGTGTTGACACCTATGCATCGGCTGGGTTGTTATGATTTGTTTCAGTGTAGGATTAAGGTGAAGCTTGTGTAAATCCTTTGTTTAACAATGATGTGGACACAAGGAGTAGCAAGTGAGTGAAGCTGCTCCTCTAACTCGGGTTATCCAACATTGGAATCAGTCGGAGTAACTGATGCCATTTTCTCCAGGAATAAGAAATAATGGTGAGAGCGGTATTTATTTAACGGTGAAGTCAAAATACGACCTGATAGAATTGAGTGTTACTTATTTTATGTGTATATGTGTTTGGAATTTTCTTTTTTCCTTTTTGAAAATAATTTCATCGGATAAATGTTTGTTTTGATGATTTCAATTGTCTCGTCTGCAGAATAACATGAGCATGACATTATGGAATTTAGAGTGATGACATAGGACTTATCTGAACTGTTCATCATTAAATCAGCATACTCACAATGGATCAAATAATATCACTAAATAAATTATTTCAACAAAATTTAGATAAATAATTACAGATGTAATCAGTGAAATTGGCATCTGTATGATAAAATTCATAATTTCTAGCAGTGTTGTATCATGGAACACATGGCTGATGGATACTCTGGGGTATACATGGGCAGTCAAACACTGCTGTGTCGAGCTTTGATGTGTCAACTTACTGTTTTCTCGAAGTAAAAGCTTGGTCCCTCTGTATTCCTTCTTTATTCACCATTTTCCGTTATGACGAACCTTGGATAACTCAAAGCATAACTCGGTCCCTTCAAGTTGGTCACAACTGTGTTCGACTGTATGTGATAGGGTCTGTGGCCATGCTCTGAAGTTACTTTGATAGTTTATTGTCATGTGGCGTGTTATAATCAGTGTTAACAGTTCAGCCCAGGTGTGAAAACACTGTCTTTCTGGTTCTACTTGGATTGTGAGGCAATCACAGTGTTAGCGGGGTCCGAGTGATTACACTCATATCGCCTGAATTCAAAACACAGCGATAGAAAATTGTACAAGTCTTATAGTCCTAGCCAAACTGCCCAATAGTTAAGGTATCATTTGGACAAGTAGACATTTGCCATTTTATGGGTTTTGCTGTATGATATAATCATGATAATAAGGACTAATGGACGAAAAATGTTAGTTTCTGTCAATATGAAACAGTAGATCCACGGATCCCATCCCTACTATAAGACATCTACAATTTGAAGTTTATTGTCATGGATAAGCTGGAGTAAAACATGTTTCATATTTAAAAAGTTTGAATGCAGTCCACTAGGCACGTGACTTCTTAGCAGGATAATCTTCTCCTGGCAAATAATGTGATGTTCAAGCACCCTCCAACATGCCCATCAGTGTCTGCTCAGATTAGACGTAAATAAAGATCAGGCTTCCTCTGTTAGGCTGTGTATGTAGTGTGATACATAAGTATACATAATCTGGCGTTTGGGGATTCCGTGTAAGAACAGGTCCCAAGCAACTTCTGCTGGTCACACGAAATGAATCAGGAAGTCAGACACGGTGACTTGGACTAGTCACACGAAATGAATCAGGGAGTCAGACACAGTGACTTGGACTAGTCACACGAAATGAATCAGGGAGTCAGACACAGTGACTTGGACTAGTCACACGAAATGAATCAGGAAGTCAGACACGGTGACTTGGACTAGTCACACGAAATGAATCAGGAAGTCAGACACGGTGACTTGGACTAGTCACACGAAATGAATCAGGAAGTCAGACACAGTGACTTGGACTAGTCACACGAAATGAATCAGGAAGTCAGACACAGTGACTTGGACTAGTCACACGAAATGAATCAGGAAGTCAGACACAGTGACTTGGACTAGTCACACGAAATGAATCAGGAAGTCAGACACGGTGATTTGGACGTTGTATCACAATTGTGTGGATTGTTAATGACACTATCAATCACTTGATTGTCTGGATCACTGTCATATAGCTGGAATGTTGTAGAGTACAACAACAAACAACAACATTGACAAGTAATATGTCCTATCACTGAATCAAAATCAGATTTTGTTTTTATTATGGTGATTGACCTGCACAAGTTATTTGTCCTGATTATATGGATTAATAACTTGAGACAAATAAACAGATACTGACAGTTTCACTGAATATTTTGAATATTTAACATTTTCAGATCCATCCTGTTCTTGATGATCCGATTGTATTTAGTTTTGGAATGTGGCCCTGTGGTCCGGGTAGAATAGGTCTTCAGGAACCAATGCTTGTCGTAAAAGGCAGGTGGTCAGGCTCGCTGACTTGGTTGATGCATTGCATGTCATTGATCGCAATTATGTGGACTGATGCTCATGACGTCAATCACTGGATTGTCTGTCCCAGACTCGATTATTTACAGACCGCCGTCATATAGCTCGAATATTGCTGAGTGCAGCGTTAAGTAACAAACAAACAGCATGTGGACAAGCATAACTTGAACCTAAGACTCAGACTATGATAGTGTTTGTGATCCCCTGCTATCTAGCTACAGTAACTCTTACTTTGTATTTAACATATTCATGAGTTCATCTTCTAAATTATAATTTAAAAATATTGCTAAACTACAAACAGGATTGAACTAACAGGATGTTTGGTTCTGCTTGATAATGATGCTGACAAAAGATCTATTGATGAGGCCTAAGGATGTGATATTCCCCTCTGGGTCAGAGTGACCTACAGTTTCCTCTCCATGCCAGTCAGCCCTTGTGTACATGTAGAACAAGGTGTGATACTTCTATATTCTAGGTAGAACAAGGTACAGCCCTTGTGTACATGTAGAACAAGGTGTGATACATCTCTATTCTAGGTAGAACAAGGTACAGCCCTTGTGTACATGTAGAACAAGGTGTGATAGATCTATATTCCCACTGGTACAGCCATTGTGTACATGTAGATCACGGTGTCATATATCCATATTTCCACTGGTACAACCATTGTATACACCTAGAACAAGGTACATCCATTGTATACACCTAGAACAAGGTACAGCCATTGTATACACCTAGAACAAGGTACAGCCATTGTATATAGGTAGAACAAGGTACAGCCATTGTATACATGTAGATCACAGTGTCATATATCTATATTTCCACTGGTACAGCCATTGTATACATGCAGAACAAGGTACAGCCCTCAAAAACATGTAGAACATGGTGTGATACATCTATATTTCCACCAGTAAATCCATTGTATACATGTAGAACAAGGTGTGATACATCTATATTCCTACTGGTACAGCCATTGTATACATGCAGAACAAGGTACAGCCCTCAAAAACATGTAGAACATGGTGTGATACATCTATATTTCCACCAGTACATCAATTGTATACATGTAGAACAAGGTGTGATACATCTATATTCCTACTGGTACAGCCATTGTATACATGTAGATCACAGTGTCATATATCTATATTTCCACTGGTACAGCCATTATATACATGCAGAACAAGGTACAGCCCTCATATACATGTAGAACATGGTGTGATACATCTATATTTCCACCAGTACATCAATTGTATACATGTAGAACAAGGTGTGATACATCTATATTCCTACTGGTACAGCCATTGTATACATGTAGATCACAGTGTCATATATCTATATATCCACTGGTACAGCCATTGTATACATGCAGAACAAGGTACAGCCCTCATATACATGTAGAACATGGTGTGATACATCTATATTTCCACCAGTAAATCCATTGTATACATGTAGAACAAGGTGTGATACATCTATATTCCTACTGGTACAGCCATTGTATACATGCAGAACAAGGTACAGCCCTCAAAAACATGTAGAACATGGTGTGATACATCTATATTTCCACCAGTACATCAATTGTATACATGTAGAACAAGGTGTGATACATCTATATTCCTACTGGTACAGCCATTGTATACATGTAGATCACAGTGTCATATATCTATATTTCCACTGGTACAGCCATTGTATACATGCAGAACAAGGTACAGCCCTCATATACATGTAGAACATGGTGTGATACATCTATATTTCCACCAGTACATCAATTGTATACATGTAGAACAAGGTGTGATAGATCTATATTCCCACTGGTACAGCCATTGTGTACATGTAGATCACGGTGTCATATATCCATATTTCCACTGGTACAGCCATTGTATACACCTAGAACAAGGTACAGCCATTGTATATAGGTAGAACAAGATGCAGCAATTGTATATAGGTAGAACAAGGTACAGCCATTGTATACATGTAGAACAAGGTACAGCCATTGTATATAGGTAGAACAAGGTGTGATACATCTATATTCCCACTGGAACAGCCATTTTATACACCTAGAACAAGGTACAGCCATTGTATACATGTAGAACAAGGTACAGCCATTGTATACACCTAGAACAAGGTACAGCCATTGTATACACCTAGATCAAGGTACAGCCATTGTATATAGGTAGATTAGGTACATCAATTGTATACATGTAGAACAAGGTACAGCCATTGTATACATGTAGAACAAGGTACAGCCCTCATATACATGTAGAACAAGGTGTGATACATCTATATTTCCACCAGTACATCAATTGTATACATGTAGAACGAGGTGTGATACATCTATATTCCCACTGGTACATCCATTGTATACATGTAGAACAAGGCGTGATACATCTATATTCCCACTGGTACAGCCATTGTATACATGTAGAACAAGGCGTGATACATCTATATTCCCACTGGTACATCCATTGTATACATGTAGAACAAGGTGTGATACATCTATATTCCCACTGGTACATCCATTGTATACATGTAGAACAAGGCGTGATACATCTATATTCCCACTGGTACATCCATTGTATACATGTAGAACAAGGTGTGATACATCTATATTCCCACTGGTACATCCATT